ACGCACACACACGCACACACACACACGGACGGACGGTCTGCAGTGAATGGGTCTCATTCCTCAGTAGTTTGGGCCACAGTGTGTGTGAAGTTCAAGTCCACCATTTTGATTCAGTGTGTGAATCAAGCTCTATCGGTACTTTTAGTCAATATGGATAAAAAAATATATCTATTGTATTGACAAAATGAAACAGACCCCAGAATAATTTTTTAATAGTTGCCACTATATTTTAAGAAAAGTAATTTTCTGTCAAAAAAAGTTTATTTACTAAAACACACCCACGCACACTCTTAACTTTGTTTTTATGAAGTCCTGATTTTATTTCATAATTTAAATAAACTTTTAAAATGTTTTCGCAATTATTTTGTGCACATTTGTTGAAAACTGAAACACTGGCTTATATCAGTGTATGTACACACACTTTTACCTTTATTTTGAAGATATTTGAGGTCTTCGCTTAGATAAAAGTGATCAATAAATTAAATGAATGTTTGTTTTTTAATTTGAGATTAGAGTCTATTTGAATTATAATTAGCTTTATGTAAAATCTGCATACTTTTATTCAGTCTTCAGTGTGTGTGTGTGTGTGTGTGTGTGTGTGTGTGTGTGTGTTTGAAAATGATTTAAATTTTTTACATTTGAAATATATTTCAAACTAAACTAGCAAACACACAATAACCAGAATCACAGATATTATAACGCATATAACATTTTGTGACACTTTAGTGTGTGATTGTGAATGGTTGTCTATTAGCATGTGTATCGTCTAACCTACTGTATACAGTTTAGTCCCAAAATAACAGAGCAGAATGTTTAGTATTTTTTGCGTTTATGATGCACTGCGGGGCATTTATTCTACTGCATTTTATTTTTGGTTTAATCTATTTAAGTATTTTTAATCCTATTACATTTGTAGTTATTGTCTTTGTTTCTGATGTTTTGCATATAACGTGTTATCAGTGTAATGCAAACACACTTCTTATAAATATACTGCACACGTTCGTGAAATATAATGAATTATATTTCATCATAATTCGTTTCTCTTCTCCAAAGTCCGAACTTTCATTGAGTTCACCACAACGTTAGGATAATTTGTGTTAGCTGACAGATTTATTGGGTCATTTACTGCTAGATAATCCTTTGTAAAGTTTGTTGCACAGTTGTTAGTGACAAAACGGATTTACACATCTTTCCGTGTTTTTGCAATTTGCACCAAATGTTTTGCAGAAAAGTGAGACAAAAAACAATACAAAGAAGAAAGAGTCATGAAGAGTCACTTAACGTAATTAAAATACAATTACAGTCCCACAATTTACATGTGTATCATGCTCGCGTGCAAAACTGTAAATCGATATCTGAAAATAGCGTTTTTAAATTCTAGAAAAAGTTTAGAAAGTAAGTGTCGGCTTTAACTGTCACAAAATATTACCGGTACATATTATATTTACATTTATATTTTAAAATATGTTCTCTTTAAAAATACACTCTTTAAACTCACACAGTACTCATGTTCAAAATAAAGTCATATGCATAAAATATGCATTAAAAAATACTAAAACTTCTCTCATCGCAACATATTTTAAAATTTGAGCTGTTATAAAATCATGTTTTTTTTTTTAATTCTCAGTCATTCTTGCTATATTATTAGAAATTACATTGGATTCGGTAGATAATGCAAATCTCTGTTTTGTGTTATGTTATGGCAGATTATATATTTATATTTGTACTAGCTCCTTATTAGTTCGTAAATGCAGATTATGTGCTTTAATGAGACATGCATTCGAAATTCGCTGGCATTTTTCCAACTAATGTTATGTCTTTTTTAGCAGAATTACCAAATTGAAAATTTGCAGGATGTCTCTTTGAATTACATATTCACATTTAATCTCCTTATTCACATTGATTAAAGCATGTTCTGTTTTTTTATAATCAGCTGATTAAATAATCACTAATTACTTAACCTTTTGTTGATCTTTGATCAATAATTCACTAAATAAATCTCTGCAGCAGTCATCAATTAAGCGTATTGATGATTTACGTCATTAAACAAATAGCGTAATGTTTATGAACAGCATGGTTTAATTCTTAAAAAAAAAAGCAGATGTGCTTTTTTTTAAACTAGAATGAAATACCACGAATGCAGCAGTTACTGAAATATTACATATACTGTACTTTTAAGCAAACAAATTGCTCATTTTACAAAATGATGATTATAATAATATATTTTTATGTTCTTCTTTAGGCACAAGAGAAGTTTGAAATGGACTAACCAAGATGCTGCCCTGCACAGGTCAGTACAGATGATCTTTTTTAAGTACTTAAATGATATGAATTATAATAATAATAAAATATACATATATGTAAAAAAATAAAAGCCTGTGCGTTTAACAATTACATGTGGTTGCTTTATAGTTATTGATTAGATGGTCTGTATTCTAAACTTGGAGATGAAGTTCAAGTTCAACAGAACTTGATTTTATTTGTTTAATGAATCAGAAATAGTTTTTAGAAAAGACTAATTGCATGACTTTTTTGGACTGTATAATGAATCTAATGCACTTTTGTACGTTCGATCCTGGTGGGAACCCGTTTCCATTCTAATGCACCTGATAGTGTCGCCCTCTAGAGTCCGACACTGCTAGTGCAGGGCCAATTTAACAATCCCATAATCACAAAGCAGATGTCAAAATTCATTTGTAAAATGCCCAATGCAGTTACCACACTAGAGCTAAATTATTTCACTTTAGCAGCATCACTAAACGGCCTGAAAGAGTAAGTAAGGCAAGACACTATACATGCAAAAATGCATGCATTTTTTTTTTCATGCACTGGTAAATTTTTGTTTTGGGGATTTTGCTTTTCATAATGTGTTGACTAGGTCAAATTACACTTTTAAGTGTTTATTTTATTGCACTTTATCTATTTGCTTCTGTAGATTTCTTTTACAATATTTTATATTCAATAACAATTTTCACAAAATGAGTTTGTTTCTCCACTTCAGCAGCACTAACAAACACCAAAATGTACAGTTTTATTCCTATCTATATTCTGAAGGTTTTTATTGAAGGGTTTGTTCTTATGTCATTCGCCTGATTTTATTATTGAACTATCTATTTGCATCTGTAGATTTCAATTACAATACATAGGATATACATTGAGGCCGTTTACTCAAAATGAGTTTGTTTCTCCACTTCAGCAGCACTTATATTAACCAAAATGTATAGTTTTGTTCGGTTTTTATAGAGGGGTTTGTTCATATGTCATTTATACAGCACTTTATTCCTACAAACACGGTGAAAATGCCTTTATCTTAGCTTTTGACAGTATTTTCTGAATTATAAAGTGATAGAGACAGAAATCCAGAAAGCGCCTCTGTAAAAATGAATGAAGAATTTGAAATGAAACAAGAAATTTGAATCTGGATTCATCCGAGGTTCATATTTATGTTGTGGAAATATATGTAAATTGTTGGATGCTTTATTAGATAATGCATCGTTTGCTTTTTTAAAGATAGCATTTCAGAAAACTTGTGATACAAAAAATGTCTGCAATTCTTAATGTAATCACTCAACTGGGGAAGTATGGTAATATATATATTTTTTTTTTTACCATATTCACCTGTGGTATCTTGCCTTAACCCATAGTGCAGCCGCTGTGGACTTATTTACAGATTCAGTCTTGATCCACGTGTCATTTTTGTCTGTCCACAAGTCATGACAAAGCTGTGGGTGCTATCAGAGCTCCTGTGTAATTTGTTGGGAAGATGTTTGTGTGCTTTTATTGTTTTCATTTTTTTATGGAGGTCGAGAGGCAAACTTGTTCAAAGGCAGTTTGATGTTTTATCACTGACAGCACAATGGCTTCAAATTCGTAGAATTATTAGATTTTGTTTAATATTTGTCAAAAAATTGGTAGAGCGTGTTAAACTGTTGCCATCATCTTGTTTACAGCTGATTATTATTGCTTACTTTTATAGTAGCTGATAAATCAAGTGTAAGTCATGTGATCTGTGGCTATATTTCTGAGTTTGCTACTCAATGAAATTTGAGTAGAAGAAGAATGGGTGGGAGATGAGCATAAGCAAACGAGATCATCATTCGTACACATAAAGGTTGTTTATTAGTTCCATTAAGAAACTTCTTTAAAAAAAAATAAAGGTTCCAAAAGGGGGTTTTCGCAGTGATGTAATAGAAAAAAAGAACCTTGAAGAACCTTTCAAAGAAACTGTTCTTAGTAGAACCAATTTCCCCCTTAGTGTGAAGAACATTTTAATAATCTAAAGAACCGTTTTCTACTATAAAGAACCATAAAGGTTCCATGGATGTTAAAAGTTCTTCATGGAACCATCAATGCTAACAAAGAATCTTTATTTTTAAGAGCGTATAGAGCCTTTTGTGCAATGGAAAGGTTCTATGCATGTTAAAGGTTCTTCGTGGAACCATAAAAGCCAAAAAATAAAGGTTCCAAAAGAGGGGTTTCACAGTGATGCCATAAAAGAACCATTCAGAACCATCAATGACAATAAGAACCTTTATTTATAGAGTCGAAAATGGTTCTTTCGATGATTTGAAATATTCTTAACACTGAGAAAAAATGGTTCTTTTAAGAACTGTTCCCTGCACAATTCTTTTGGGAGCCCAGAATGACAGTGCTGCCAAAACCCCCTTTTTAAAAGAGACCAAGAAAGAAAAAACAGCATTCCTTCTTATTTAGCCGCTTAATTGTCGCCAACTGACTGCATGTAAATAAGCGCCTTCACAGCATCCATCTGCCCCTCTCAGAGTCCTGACCTTGGATCCGGGCCATAATCTTATTTTTTTAGCATTTGGCAAGGATCTATAGCAGCATTGTGACCTCTCTCACCACCTTTACCAGCTGAAATCCCTCCTAGTTTGGCTAGTTATAGCAGTGTAGGGGAATATCTAGCATATTTAACTCGCACTGGGTAAAATCTGCATTGTTGAGAGAAAACAAAACATGGTAACACTTTATAACATCTCATTTGTTAACATAAGTTAATGCAGTAGTTAACATGAATTAACTATGAGCAATATCTTTTTACATCCTTCGTTAATGTTAGTTAATAAAAGTAGTTCATATTAGTGAATTAACTAATTAATGTTAGTAAAACAAAACTGTTTTAGTAAATGTAGAACAGCATTTATTATTGTGCATTCTTCTTAACTAATGTAGTTAATTAATGTTAAAAAAATGAGACCTTATTGTAAAGCGTTACAAACACAGATGTCGCACCGCTGTATAGATCACATTTTAATATTATGGATATATATGGATATAAAAATGCAGATTTTCCCCGGAGCACCTGATTTAACCTTAGAGCAAAAGAAGTAAAGCAGGTTTGTTCGCTACTAGTAAGCAATGCTAGTTTTACACAAAAGGCCATTGTTTTTACACCCATTATTTTCAGGATATCTTCAGTTGCTTCATTCATGTATTTGTCATATAAATAATTATGCCAAAAGCAACAGTTTTTGAAGTTGCAAATGGAAATAATCATTTGAGTGAATATTTACTCGCATGATTTTAGAGTTAAACTTGAATGACTGTTTTGCATCTAGTAAATAATTTGGTGAATGTGTTTCCATCATAGCATATGCACTTCATGGTAGTAAAAAATTGTCAAATTTTTATTTTATTGTTTATATTACTTGGAAAAATGTTTTTGTTTGTTTTATTTCAATCCAGCATTTTTATGCAATTGTCCCAAATTTTAATAAGAATGAGTGGATGGACATCTGGTTATTATTATTATTATTTATTATTATTATTGTTGTTGTTTCATATTCGAGGAGAGGAGTTAAACAAGTTTGTTCGCTACTAGTAAGCGATGCTAGTCTTACACAACAAGCCCAGGATTGTCTTCGTACCAGTTACTGCTGCCCTCCTGCTTGGCTTTGTAATATTACTTGGAATTTTTTTTTTGTTTGTTTTATTTCAATCCAGCATTTTTATGCAATTGTCCCAAATTTGAATAAAAATGAGTGGATGGACATCTGGTTATTATTATTATTATTTATTATTATTATTGTTGTTGTTGTTTCATATTCGAGGAGAGGAGTTAAACAAGTTTGTTCGCTACTAGTAAGCGATGCTAGTCTTACACAACAAGCCCAGGATTGTCTTCGTACCAGTTACTGCTGCCCTCCTGCTTGGCTTTGGCATAAAACACCATCCATATTGCTGTGTAAAAATGAATTATGAACTATGTTGCATAACTGTACCCAATGCACGCAAAGTTCCATGCCACCCCCTGTAGGAGCGCAGCATAGAAATCTCTCTGAGAGTTCCTCTCCCACCAACCTGTGTCTGCTTACATTTCCACCGAGCAGATGGCCACGCAGCATGGCATGGGATCTCGCGCGGTGTGACGCGCTCGCATATGTAACGGGAAGACTTCTGTACCAGTTACTGCTGCCCTCCTGCTTGGCTTTGGCATAAAACACCATCCATATTGCTGTTTAAAAATGAATTATGAACTATATTGCATAACTGTACCCAATGCACGCAAAGTTCCATGCCACCCCCTGTAGGAGCGCAGCATAGAAATCTCTCTGAGAGTTCCTCTCCCACCAACCTGTGTCTGCTTACATTTCCACCGAGCAGATGGCCACGCGGCATGGCATGGGATCTCGCGCGGTGTGACGCGCTCACATATGTAACGGGAAGACTTCACAAGCGGGCCCTAAAGGAGAAATTTGGGTTGTTTTCTGATTGAATGTCTCTCTGATTGAAAGTGTTTTTTTTAGATCATGCTACGTTCCACAGCTTCAAGTATAATCTTGATTTGCTATGAAAAATAATAGCCTATATACAATTAGAAACTATGCCATAATTGTAAATAACATTATTTCTTCACACATTATTTATCATCTTCCCCCAAAATTACCCCCACAAGTTCTTCCAAAAATGACAATTTGCTGAAAGTTTACTCATCCTCAGGCTATCCAAGATGTAGATGAGTTTGTTTCGTCATCAGATTTGGAGAAATGTAGCATTGCGTCACTTGCTCACCAATGGATGTGAATGGGTGCCGTCAGAATGAGAGTCCAAACAGCTATACAATTAGAAACTATACCATAATTGTAAATAACATTATTTCTTCACACATTATTTATCATCTTCCCCCAAAATTTCCCCCACAAGTTCTTCCAAAAATGACAATTTGCTGAAAGTTTACTCATCCTCAGGCCATCCAAGATGTAGATGAGTTTGTTTCATCATCAGATTTGGAGAAATGTAGCATTGCATCACTCGCTCACCAATGGATGTGAATGGGTGCCGTCAGAATGAGAGTCCAAACAGCTGATAAAAACATCACAATAATCCACAAGTGATCCACACCACTCCAGTCCAACAGTTAACATCTTGTGAAGCCAAAAGCTGCGTGTTTGTAAGAAATTAAGACGTTTTAACTTTAAACGGTCTCTTCCGACTAAAATACGAGTCCATAATCCAATATGTTTTCTGAACAAATATGTGGGTAGATTTTGATATTAGAGTACAACAGGAGATGGACTTTTTCGCTGGAGGAAGCGTTATTATGGATTATGGACTCATTGACTAGAAGCAATGATTTGACGTTAAAACGTCTTAATGATGGATTTGACACGCAGCTTTTGGCTTCTCAAGATGTTAACTGATGGACTGGAGTGGTGTGGATTACTTGTGGATTATTGTGATGTTTTTATCAGCTGTTTGGACTCTCATTCTGACGGCACCCATTCACATCCATTGGTGAGCAAGTGACGCAATGCTACATTTCTCCAAATCTGTTGAAGAAACAAACTCACCTACATCTTGGATGGCCTGAAGGTGAGGACATTTTCAGCAAATTGTCATTTTTTGAGTAAACTAACTCATCTTGGCATGACAACATTGTTGGCTAATATGAGCATAGGCTCCAGATTAGCTGGAAAAGTCTCAATTGCTAATGCGCTGATCGAGGTTATGGACATCTACTATCATGAAAGAGGCCCGAGAGGGTCAGGATATGTTGATGGCGCTCTAATAATAGCATAGCAACAGATGCATTTCTATCTGGCGGTGGCGGGGGGTTCAGGCGGGGTATGAGGCCACGGAGGGCGATTTCAATCAAGCAAAGGCTTTCTGAATCACAAAACATGGCTGATTGATATAGCAGATAGTTGGTCACTGTTCAGATGCTAAACCACGAGAAATTTGATCCTACACGGACGTAGGAACAATTGGAAAAGCGCATTTTTAAATCTCACTCACTCATATAAGAAATCTTAAGAACTAAATCATGTGTTGTCATTAAAACATATTTTAGGCCAAACAGAAAGCTAGTTGTGAATTTCATTAATTTTCAGTCATATTATTTGTCAAGGTCAAGTCACAAGACCTATTTGATGTATATTTAGTAAATTATTTGGTAAATGTGTTAATCGTAGTTTATGCACTTCATCTTTTTGCAAGATGAAAATTATCATCAAAGTTTAAATAAATAAAAAAATGCACATACATTTTTAATGCACATTTTAAGTTTTATTTGAAAAATCTTATTTTTCTTTACTTACATACTTTATTTGTTGTTTTTTATTTTATTTTGTTTTATTTGTGTCCAATCAAGCATTTTATGCAAACATTTTATTTTTATTTATTTATTGTTTGTTTGTTTGTTTGTTTGTTTTGATACACTTTTTCCTTGCTTGAGGTTGCCTAAAATGTATTTTTGATGGTAAACGCTGAAATTTTATATTCAAAGGATGAGAACGATCTTCAGTAATAACCTGTGCTTTTTGTTTGACTCTTGTTTGATAGATTTCATTCAATTGTCTTTTGTGGTTGTCCTACAATTGCACTAGCAATTTTAACTACTCGACACAGTTTTTGCTTTTCTTTAACTTCTTTTTTTTATTTACAGCATTTTTATGCAATACCCTAAAATTTAAATAAAATTAATAAAGTAAATAATACATAAATACAATTTAAGTAGATGGACAGGCTATTATTATTGTTTCAAATGTGACTTTGGATAAAAAATAATAATTTTACATTTAACAATTACATTGATTTAGATTTTTTAAATTTTGATTAAATCATTTCTTATTTATAATAAATCATTTTATTTATTTTATTTTATGATAGATAGATAGATAGATGGATGGATGGATGGATAGATAGATAGATGATAGATGGATGGATGGATGGATAGATAGATGATAGATGGATGGATGGATGGATAGATAGATGTAGATGGATGGATGGATGGATGGATAGATAGATAGATAGATAGATAGATAGATAGATAGATAGATTTTTTTCCAATAACCCAAAATTTGATTAAAAATTTGTGAATTGACACCTGGTTATTATTATTATTATTGTTTTATATTTGACTGTGGATTATAAAATGCATTAATGCATAATTACATTAAGATTTTCAGTAAAAACTCAAAAACTTTCAAACTTCATATTTCACACAAAGCTGCCGTATACTATAAAGAGAGTTGCATTGAATATTTTTATGCTTCTTTTAGGATCACTATAATCGTCATTATATGGAAAGAGCAGAAAGAAGAAAATTCTCCTTATGTGTTTCACAGACGAGTTTGAGCAACATGCGGGTGAGTAAATAAGATTCGTTCTTGTGTGAACTGTCCCTTTAAGGCTTTTGGCGTGTTGTTGGGTACAGTACAGGAGACTGTAAGCGGCTGTGAGTCGGTTAACGCTCTGCTTTAATAACAGGATGCAGCTGCTCTCCTTCATGAACACACGAGACTGACTCAGTGCTGCTCTGACCAGAGACATGGACCATAAGTCTTTTCTGGCCTGACACTAAATGACTTTTTCACATTGTATCAGTTACAGGGAACTAAGGAAACTCTGGTGTTAACAAGGCTAGTTTGGCTGAAAAACGGTTCAATTCAGGTTACGTGGAGTCGTTGGTGGAACAATGTGCCTTGGCCGAGAGCCTCCATTGGTCATTGTCTCGCAGTTATGACAAATACGGTGAACGTTTGGGGAAATTATGAACAGATAAGGTGGAAACAGTTGCTTGAATGATAGCGGGGAGGAAATCAGAGCGAGCCGGATTCCTCTGGCTATTGTTGTACAGTGTGACTGCACTGGGGAACCTGATCCGGCCCTTATTGATTGATCATTGCTCCGCATTCCTCGGCCCTTTGAAGTCTGCGGTCAGATTCAAAGCCAGCCTGATGAAACCCTTCAGAGGCTCATTGTGTCGCTCCGGAGTGTCGAAATCCTGTGCGTCTGCCCTGCGAGGTTCATTGTAACGAGGCTCATTATTTAGTCGTGCTGCTGTTTAGTGATGTTTACACCACCGGATACAGCCTCTAGTGCTCTGGACAGAACAGACTGTAGTTTCTTAAAGAGGCCATAGTAAAGAAAATGTTCTCGAAAATAGAAATAGAAATAGTCACATTATTTGTTGAAGTAAACATGACCTGTTTAATGTGCATTTAGTACATTATTTGGTAAATGTGTTACATTAGTTCATGCACATGATTTTTTTTTTCCCAGGCAAAAAATGTCATTAAAATGTAAAAAAATAAAAAAATAAAAATAAAAGTATATATATATATATAT